TCTTATGTTATACTTAAATATGGAGCATTTATTATCATGTTAATGGCAGCCACATGAACATAAGAAATAAGTCTTTCAGTTGGCCTGCTCCTACTCTGTATGTGTTCAGTGAATGCTCTTGGTGTTCCTCCAGAGGGTGGCTGGGCACTGAACAGGCTCCCCAGGGCAGTGGGCACAGCACCAAGGCTGACCCAGCTCAAGGAGCATTTGGATGATCCTCTGGGGCACATGGTGTGACACTTGGAGATGGTCCTGTGCAGGGCCAAGGGTTGTACTTCATGATCCTTGTGGGTCCCTTCCAGCTCAGCATATTCTGTGATTCTGTGACATCACCTGGGCTGGTCCCATTGCACAAGGAGCCTTGTCCCTCCCTGCAAAAATGTGGATGCCCACCATGTGGGGATGGGTTCACCTCAGTGCCTGAAAATGAGGAGGGGGACCCCCAAAAGATGTTTATCGCCCCCAAAATTGGTGGGAAGCAGCAGGATCCTCTCCAAAATAAGCTCTTTGTGTCCCTCCTTGTGATGCCCCACTCCAAGTGCTGGAGCCATGAGTTCCCACTCAAATCTCCCAGTACCCTCCTCAGGATTGGGGGCACCCCAAAAACTCCCTCGGTACTAGAGGGTACCCCAAAATCCCTTCAGGAAAGGTGTCCCTCCAGGCCTCACCATCCCCAAGATTCAGCTCTTGTTTTGCTACTGGGGACGAGGATCAGCACAAGAAACACAGACACCAACTTTAAAGAATAAGTGTAAAAATTTACTATAGTGCAAAACAGTAAAGAATTACGAAAGAAGCCAGGAATTATAAAAGGATAAGCTTAGCAATGCACCTAATCATTACTACAAAGAGTGTCTATGGTGATTAAGAAAGACACATCACCAGCGACCTCATTTAATACATTACCATCACCAGCATCCATCAGCTGGGGAGCTCCTGCATCACCCGCTCTGGCTTTTTGCTTCAGCCTGGAGCCGGGCTGCCTCTGGGCACACCTCCATCAAATGAGGCTCAGCATGAAGTGACATCCCAGCCCAAGCAGGCGGGGGCCACCACAGCTCTCAAGAAATGCCCACCCAGCGCTCCAAGCCCGCCAGGCCAGACTTCCAGGACAATTCCCCAACTCCTTTGTCTTGTCCCACTTCAAGAGCAGACACCTCGCCCCCCCTCCCCCTTGCAACTGCTCTCACCTGCAGCTGCACAAACTCCCGGGGCAAGCCCTTCGACCAAGTGAAGGCCCACAACTTCTGCACCAGCTTGCTCAGGGGAGGGACGTTACAATGGACCGCAAGCGGGCTGAAGAAATTTCCCTTTTTCTTTGCGGGTGTATCGGGGCTTAATTAGATGTCGATACTTTTGGTCTCTCTTTGGCCCAACCGCCTGGGAGGGTCTATCCTTTTCCTGCCAACTTAGGAGAAAACAAGCACTGAGAAACGGCAACTTCGTCCTTGAAGGAAGTGTTTTGGACAAACTACAATTAATTGGTGTCTTATTATTGCCTGATTGCCTTCCAAGGGCATTTGAAGAAAAAAGGGAACAGGAGGGTGATGGAGTACGCCCCCAGACTCATTTAGAAAAGACCCCCTGAAGTACAGCGCGCAAGCGCGGGGGGGATTCCAAAGGACACATGCGTGTGCAGAAGGGGCACCGCTTCCAGAACGTTGGGAGGGACCGAAGGCCTCTGGCTGGGCGGTGCTAACCACACCTGCCCAGGTGGACATCGCCAATCAATTGGATAAAAAGCGGATGGCTCGTGCTCGGCAGACGCAAGCTTCACATCAAAGGACAACGTTGCCTTTGGCGGGCACGCCCGCTATCTTGTGAGCCTGCCGACTCTCCCAGAATGCAGCTTCTGCTCTGGGCAATTCTAGGCCTTCTGGGTCGGGAAGATAACTTCAGAAGCAACACCTGGGCAACTGGGGGAGTCGTACTGAGGGCTTATTTTTCTCCTCCTTCCTCTCTCTTGGGGTTTTTTCCTTTTGTTGGCCACCTCTTGGGAATAGAGATTGTTTGGGTTGAGATTTCAACGGTGTATGGTTTCAGCTTCAGCATCCTTCCCAACTTTCCCTCTTACAGCGGGCTACAAACCCATCCGCTTCCCACAGGATCAGGGAGTTGCCTGTGTTTTATGGCTACCACAAGCTCACCCATTATCTTCTGCCCAGAACACAAAGAGGAGGGCTCAAAAGCACTGGAAGACTCTGGCAACCCAGTAGTAGCAATAGCTCACCTGTAGGCCAGGATCTTAACACGACTGTGCTTCAAGCCTTCACGGAGGAAGGGGACGCATTTGCCTGGCCTCTGGGATGGGCTGAAGATGCAGCTGTGAGCAGAGCTGAAGGGAGCAGAGGAGAGCTCTGGCTCGGCCTTCAGGTCTGGCTTCTCTTTCAGCCTTGAAGATTTCTGCCGCACTGATTTGCACTCAGACCAAGGGCAGAGAGAGAAGTCTAAACTCCCGGCCCAGGAAGAAAGCCTTAATAAACCTTCAAAAATAGGACTCTCCTCATCCCTCCCACCTAGGTCCAAAGAGCTCCAATTCTGTCACCAAACGCAGCAGTTCTCCTCAAATGTCGGGACAGTTCTGGCAGCCAGGCCCTTTCTGCCCAAGCTGGACAGGTCCCCACCTGTCCCAGAGGCAAGCAGAGGGAAGAAGAGGGGACAGCCTTGGGATCGGGGAATGGCAGAAGCAAAGCCGGCAGGGGCAACAGAAGAAAACAAGGACACCTACTAGACTCTTCAGTTTATTCAAGACCAAGTTGGCATAAGAACACCTAGCGGGAGCCAAGAGCCTCCTCACAGACTGAGATTGTTCAGACTCAAATTGTTGACAAGATGTACCAGCCCAGTTGAGTAGAGAACCAGACTCGTAGTTTTGGTCTTATTTCCTGCTCGGCTCGTTCTTCCACATCCCTTTTCTATTGTTCTGTTTGGCTGTAAACTTCACTTCAACCTTAAGTTCAAACCTAAAAGGGCCGGTATTCCGAGCAGGAGATTCCAAGTTAAAGATCTTCAATCAGCTAAAGGGAGAGACAGCTTTCAGGCAAACCTTCAAACTAGGCTCCAGGATCATTCCATAGATCCCTCTCCTGAATCATTTGGGCAACCTATGGAAAATAGCATCCTGCAGTCCTCTGAAGGATCCTTAGGCTTCTCCTTCAAGAAGAACAAGGGCTGCTTGGATGAAAACAATCAAGAGATCCAGGATTTGTGGAGGAAAAAGAGAACTGCCCACCGAGCACACCTTGCTCAGCCATCTGCTCATGGAAGAAAAGCGGCCTTTCGTCTCGCAGGCAGCAACCTCCAACAGCAACTTCGTGACATCCAAAACAAGGGGTGGATCAATCTAGCAGGAAAAATTCAGTTATGCGCAGATACGGGTGATCACAGAGGATTCTAGGAGGCCTTGAAAACAGCATATGGACCGACAGACCAGGCCCAAAGCCCTCTACTCAGCGCAGATGGTCAAATGCTTCTCACAGGTGAAACCGCCGTTCTAAATCGATGCTCTGAACACTTTCAGACTCTTTTCAGGACCAACCGTGTAGGTCAAGACTCAGCAATTCAGTCCATTACACAACAACCCGTGAAGAATGAATTGGATGCTGCCCCTACTAGGGGAGAAAACAGGTTACCAAAGGCATCGAGAGCTTTCGGAAGACTCCATAAAAGAGTCTGGCGAAATAATCATCATCATCATCATGGCCAGGTTTCGCGAACGAAGATTTGGGAAGGGATCTACCCACGTCTGTTACAAGCGCGTTGGTGGCTAAAAAGGCCAACACGAGATAGAAACGGCCGGTTGCAAAAGGCACAGCAGAAAGACTCCTTAGGAGATATATTCTGCAAGGCATGATTCTTTCTGCGTTGTCTTTTCTCCTCAAGAGTGATCCTGCGTGCTTTCTCAAAAGCATCAGCAGCGTTAAAGGTAGTGTGTCTCCAGACCTCCCGATTGGAGGCCAGAGTAGACCAGTTATGTTGATCAATATGGCCAAGGCTGAGAGGTTGTTTCGGGGAGTCCTTGTAAATAAACACCTGAAGAAAAGTACAAAGATCAGGGTTTACAGAGCCATAGTGCTGTCTACTCTCTCAGATGGGTCCGAATCATGGCTCATTTACCGCCACCACCTGCGACTCCTCGAACGCTTCCATCAACACTGTCTCCGTACAATCCTAAACATCCGCTGCTCAGATTACGGAACTAATACGTCCGTTCTACAACAGGCAGCAATTACCAGCATTGAGGCCATGTTGCTGAGAACACAGCTGCGTTGGGCAGGGCACGTCTCCAGGATGGAGGACTACCGCCTCCCTAAGATCGTGATCTATGGCAAACTTGCCACTGGCTGCCGCAAGAGAGGAGCCCGCAAAAGGAGACACGAGGACTCCCTGAAGCAACATCTCAGCCTTGGCCACATTGGTCTCCAGCGCTGGTCTACTCTGGCCTCCAATCGAGAGGTCTGCAGACACACTGTCTCTAACGCTGCTGCTTCCTTTGAGAACGCACGCAGGATCACCATCGAAGAGAGAAGACAACGCAGAAAGAATCGTGTCTTGCCGATCCCATCCAAGGAGTCTTTCTGCTGTGCCTTTTGCAACCCATCTTGTCTGTCTCGCATTGGCCTCTTTAGCCACCAGCACGCTTGTAGCAAATGTGGGGAGAGCCCTTCCAAATCTTCATTGGCCAAGCCTAGCCATGATCTGGCTGCCATCCACCACACTGGTCTCCAAATGAGGCTGGAGCTTTGCCAGCTCTTCTTGCAGCTGGCATTTGCTCTTCTCCAGGTTTTCCCACTTCCCACGCAGGCTAGACAGCTCGTCTTGCAAACCCTGACTTGTGACTTCCAGCTGCGTGCGCTTTTGACATTCCCTCTCCAGCTGCTGGGAAAGTTCAGCAACCTGCAGACAGAAAGAACAAAAAAAGAACTCAGCGGGATGGAAAGGCAGTGAATTCCGGGAAAACCCCAAAAGGGGACCTTAAAGGCACCTTAAAGATCATCCGCTTCCAAGCCTCCTGCTTGCCCATGCCTCAATCCCATGCTACGCGCCTGTCCCGCTGATTACAACTCCTGGCGGGTGGTTTCCACGTCTCCTGCTATCATGCTCTGCATTCTGGCAGGGATGTGCTATCACACTGACTGCTGACTACAGGGCATACTCGGACCAGCGGTATTGCAGAGCTTGCAGCATTGCTGCAAAATTAGAAGGCCGTGAAGACTTCCCAAGGAGTAGGGAGCTCTGCTGTTTCATGGAGGAAGACGTAGCAGGAACTACACCAGCAAATGCCTCCTATCCAGAGTAACATATTAAAGCAAGGTCCAGGGAAGAAACTGCTAGAACGAAGATTACTGATGAAGAAAAAGGTGTCTCACAGATGTCTGGTGGCATTTGGCACTCACGGTGACATCAGCCATTTCAAATAGGTCACACACACCCTCCGTGTCAATTTAGTGGAGAACTTAGGGGGGAGGTTCCTGCGCCACAGTGCTCTTTCCCACGGTTTCTCTTGTCAAAGAATGGAGTTCCACAGCTCATTGCTTCCAGTTCCGTATTTTTGGGCCTTGGACCACTCTGGAAAATTTGGACAAACCTGATGACCAGAAGTCTTCCACTTTACCACAGATGCCTGAGACCCAGGCTTCTGCTCGGTCCCAAACTGATGCCATGACGTCCCAGGCCAGTTGAATCCAGAAGTGGACTTGCAGTCAGGTGTCCGATGACGGCGCTGCTTGGGACTGCAGATCTGCTTCTGTGGCGCTCCCAAAGGAGCTTGGTGTTGGCCTCTGCAAGTCTCTCATTAGCTCTGAAACATTCACAAGCACACACAGAGTCATCTTTGGCAGGAAGGCTTTCGCAAAGTTACCCTCCACGGCCTTCACTATTACCCCACTTCTAAAAGCCAAGGGCATGAAGAGCGTCCAAACCCAGCACATCCTTTGATCGGAGCTTGTTCCCAGGGCCTGTTTCTAAGAAATCACACCAAGTGCAAGGAGCAGACAGTGTCACCTCCAGAAGAACTCTGGCCTACCCTGGTTTTCTCAAGGAAAGCTCAACCCTCAGACCCGCTACCAAAACAGAAGCCAAACAAGAGCCTTCTTAGTTTGGATTCACAGAATCCAACTCTCTTCTCCGAGAGGCCTCTCCTCGTTCAAACAGGAAAGGGCACAAGATTCGTCTTTTCTCTCCCCCACGGGATGAGGAGATTAGAGACTGGCAAAAAGACTGCCTGCTAAAACAGCAGCAACTTGAAAAAGACACCAGCAATGCCAGAGTGGCGCTACTGTGCTGTTACTGCTGGAACTCTAAAGAGAAAGGAAGACAGGTCTGATGAAGGCAAGGTCTTAAGGAACTTTCCCCACAAAGATGCCACGTTCTGCTTTCACACCTGACGCTGGCCAGATGTAGAAAAGGGATTTAAGAAGGAAAATGCACGAGGAAAAAGGAGTCTCTTAGTAGCAGTCCAAAAAAGCAGGGACTTACCTTTCCAGTCTCTTGGCTAGGCTTTTTCTGCTTTTTGCTTCCACCACATACAGCTCTTTATACTTTTCCACTTCTGCCTGGGTGGATTCTTTTTGAAAAGGTCTTTCTGCTTGGTTGCTTCTTATCCTTCCCAGTGCACGGTCAAGATCTCTAATTCTCTCTTCTAACTGGTTTTTCAGGGAGTCCAGATGACTGCTTCGGATTTTTTCTAATGTGTCCTGGTGGGCTGCCTGTGCCTGAAGGAGACAGTGCACCTTCAACCACCACAAGAAAAAGAGAGCTCTGCCCAGCACAAAATTGCACGCACCCAGTTTCAAGGGCCCAGCCCTACTCAGAGAGGCGGCTCTGCCTCCTCACTCCCAGCAGCAATCAAGGCAGAACCCAGCAGCTACCAAGGCAAACAATTCTTTGCAGTGGGAAAGAAGACCAAACTAGCACTCTTATTCAAAGCTACTAAGGAAGACACACTGTATCTGTAGGACAGAGCACAGCGAAAAGGATTCTTCAAAGACAAGAAGAGCATCCCCCACCCCTGTCATTTAAGTGACTCCTTTGCAGAGCACCTTTTCCCCCCTACAAGGACAAAGCAGCACCTCTAGGTCTGGCCATGACAGCTGCAAGTTGCCAAACCCATTCAAGGATGAGCAGCGAGAACCAGAGCAGCCCACAGAGATACCCCCCAAGCACTGCAAAGTGCCAGTCTGCCTCGGGCAGCCTTTGCATTCAGGGACCTGCCGGCACGTGACACACCCACGGCAGCACTCCTGCCCAACCAGATTGCCTTCTCCCACTGCCTTCAGCAAAGACAGAAGCTAACCCACAGAATACAGGAGCAAAAGAAAAACACCAAACCCCATGGCCACAACAGAAGTTTACGTAGCGCCTGTGGACGCTGGGGAGAAATTCACTTACTTGCAAAAACTCATTGACTTCCTGGAGTTTTTGTCTGAGTTCCCGGTCGGCTTGCTCTTCCACCTCTTTTTTCCATTGTTCCAGTTGGCTGCGATCCACCAAGTCAGTCTCCAAATGATGCCGGAGTTTTGCCAGCTCTTCTTGCAGCTGGCATTTGTCCATCTCCAGGTTCTTGCACTTCCCACGCAGGGTAGACAGCTCGTCTTGCAAATCTTGATTTTTGGCTTCCAGCTGCGTGCACTTTTGACATTCCCTGTCCAGCTGCTGGGAAAGTTCAGCAACCTGCAGGCAGAAAGAAAAAAACAGGAACTCGGCGGGATGGAAAGGCAGTGAATTCTGGGAAGACCTCAAAAGGGGGCGGCCAGGGAGTCTATATTCATCATCTGCTGCCTCAGGACTAGAAACAAAGTCCAACCAGCCTCTTCTTTTCCAGCAAGAACAGCTTTCCCATCATTTGTCATAGGATTCCTCAGCTTCCCATCCTTTCCGAGTTCCTCCTGCAAAACTGCTCCAAGCTTCTGCACTCCAAAGGAATCACTGCAAAGGCAGGAAGCCATTCTACAGCGATGCCTTCCAAACCCAAGCGTGGCTGACAGACGCCGCTTTAGCAACGGATCCGAGCGACCAGTGGAGAAGGAGATGAGAGGTTCCGTGTCACTACCGCAGAGACAGAGCAGCCTCAAAAGCACTGCTGGGAACAGTCCTTCTGGCTCCCCGCCACAGGATGGGCTGAAACAGCTCCCTGTGAGCAATAAGTGACAGATTTTCCCCTGGGAGGCACCTGTCCTCATTGGGCCCTGGGCAGCAACAACACTGTTGAGAAAAGCAAAACCTCAAGTGCCTCCTGCTCAGCTCCTGCCTGAGACAGGGCTCAGGGGCTGATCGTGCCCTGCCACTGACAGCGCTGTTCCTCCCCTCTCTCCCAGAGCAGCAATTCATCTGTCACACCCAGAGGACGCTGTCACAGCCTCCCTCAAGCTGCAGCCAGGCCTCAGCTGGGCCCCACTGCTCTCAGCCCATGCACGTGATGTCCTGCAAGGACCTGCCCATCCCTCAGGCCCAGCCGGGGGATCTGCACTCTTGGCTGACCCCGCTCACTGTCAGCGGACCTGTTCTGCTCTTCCTGCTCAGGGCCTGTGGCACGGCTCCCTGGCCCCTCAGCTCACGCACCCTGCCAGGCTGGTTGCCACTCTCGCCTCGCCCTTCCTCTGCAGGACAGCCTGGCCTCCATCAGCCCTTACACCTACTGCTTTGTCCTTAACATTTCCATCTTTCCCCAGAAGGAGAACTACCTCCGGATTACTTAGAGTCATCTCCCACTGCAACAGCAGAAGGAGCATTAAGAAAAGCCCATCACACCCAAAATGCAGACAAGGGAAAAAAATCATCACCATGACAAGAAATAGAGGGAAAGCATCTCCCAGCTTTCAAAAGAAGGAACAACCAAAAAGCCCCACCCAGAGCCAGGCTCACCTCTCTTCGTAATCTGTCAACTTCCTTGACCTTTTCAGAATAACTCTTCTTCATTTCCTCCAGCTGGGACTGGCTTTCTTTCTCTTCATTAAGCCTGACTTTCCTCCTCTCTAGCCTCAGAAGCTTTTCCAACCTGCACAGCAAATTAGTTAAGAAAACCATGAAACACAGGAACAACCAGCCTTTCCCCCACAGTCTCACAGAAACGCCACAGACAGCATCCAAGCCTAGAAGGGCTTGGCTTGGCAGGGACCTTAAAGATCATCTCGTTCCAAGCCTCCTGCTGTGGCCAGGGACACCTTCCACGAGACCAGGTTGTTCACAACCCCATCCAACCTGGCCTTGAACACTTCCGGCCATGGGGCATCCACAGCTTCTCTGGGCAACCTGTTGCAGGTCCTCACCACCCTCACAGGAACCAATCTCTTCCTAGGATCAAATCTAAACCTACTCTCTTTCCGTTTGAAGCCATTCCCCCTTGTCCTCTCCCCACATGCTCTTTGAAATGCACTCTCTTCATCCTTCTTGTAGGCTCCCTTCACACACCGAAAGGCCACCAGTAGGTCACCCCAAAGCCTCCTCTTTTCCAGGCTGAAGTATTGCAATTGACCCAGCCTTTCCTCAGAGGAGAGCTGCTCCATCTTTCTAACCACCTTGCTGGCCTCCTCTGGACTCAGCTTGGCAGCTCCCAGGGCCCTCCTTTCTACCCCTTTCAAAGATGGGCACAGTGAGTTTCCCTTTTTCCCATCACCTGGGACTTCGCCTGACTGCCACGACTTTTCAAATATCAAGGAGAATGTCTTGGCAACTCCATCAGACCCTGCTGGCCAATGGAGGGCAATAATGCTGGCCAGATGGAGAAGATGGATTTCCAAGGAAAATGCAGGAAGAAAAAGGAGTCTCTTATTACCACTCCAAAAAAAGCAGGGACTTACCTTTCCACTTTCTTGGCTAGGCATCTTCTGGTTTTCACTTCCTCCAGATACAGGTCTTTGTACATCGTCATTTCTGCCTGCGTTGCTTCTTTACGAGAAGCACTCTCTTGTTGGGTTCTTTTTACCCTGTCCAATTCACTTTCGAGGCCTCTAATTCTGTCTTCCAACTGGATTCTCACGGAATCACAATGACTCTCTCTGATTTGTCCTAATCGGGCCTGTGCCTGAAGGAGACAGTGCACCTTCAACCACCACAAGAAAAAGAGAGCTCTGCCCAGCACAAAATTGCACGCACCCAGTTTCAAGGGCCCAGCCCTACTCAGAGAGGCGGCTCTGCCTCCTCACTCCCAGCAGCACGTCCACCCCCTCACCCCCACCCCTGTCATTTAAGTGACTCCTTTTCGGAGCACCTTCCCCCCCTACAAGGACAAAGTAGCACCTCTAGGTCTGGCCATCACAGCTGCAAGTTGCCAAACCCATTCAAGGATGAGCAGCGAGAACCAGAGCAGCCCACAGAGATACCCCCCAAGCACTGCAAAGTGCCAATCTGCCTCGGGCAGCCTTTGCATTCAGGGACCTGCCGGCACGTGACACACCCACGGCAGCACTCCTGCCCAACCAGATTGCCTTCTGCCACTGCCTTCAGCAAAGACAGAAGCTAACCCACAGAATACAGGAGCAAAAGAAAACCACCAAAACCCATGGCCACAACAGAAGTTTACGTAGCGCCTGTGGACGCTGGGGAGAAATTCACTTACTTGCAAAACGAGGCTGACGTCTTGTAGCTTTTGACTTCTTTCCTGGTCAGCTCGTTCCTCCACCTCTCTTCTACATTCTTCTCTTTGGCTGCCATCCAGCACCAAAGTCTCCAAATGATGAGTGAGTTCTGCCACCTCTTCTTGCAGCTGCCATTTGCTCTTCTCCAGGTTTTCACACTTCCCACGCAGACTGGACAGCTCTCCTTGCAAAGCCTGCTTTTGAGCCTCGAGCGGCATGCCTCTTCTAGGCTCCATGTCCAGCTGCTGGGAAAGTTCACCACCCTGGATACAGGACAAAAAAAACAGAAAAGGAAACTCAGCGGCATCTAAAGGCAGTGAATTCTGGGAAAACTTCTCAAGGGGGTGGCCATCGCAACTGTATCTCTCCTCTACTGGAAACCAGCCTAGAAAACACTTGAAAGATTCCCCGACAGAAAGAAGAAACTTTAGACCTACTTAAGAATTTGGGAGACACTCCTGGCAGCAATACTTCCGGCTCCCTTGGAGCTCAGGATGAAACTCCTCATTTAGAATCTAAGAATTCCTCCAGTGTCCAGCACAGCAAATACCCTCGGGGTAGCAGCTGGCAAAAGGACCAGGCTGCTTTCTGAGCAGCCTCTACTGGGGAGAAGGCAGAAACTGAGCTCCCCTAGGCTCTCCAGGAAAACTTCATCTGACACTTTCCCCACACAAATAGGCAACTAGACTCAAGAGTCACAAAAAGGCAAATTTAGCACCAGCTTACTGAGGCAGAGGCTTGCAGGGCTCTCGGAAGGGCTTCAACACCATCGTTTGGCTGCTGGACAGTGCCTTCCAATCTGCTCTTTTCACTTGCAAAGCTTAAGAAGAAATACAGCTCTTATTACCAGAAAATCCAATGCCAGACAAACTGTGCTAAGGAACAGAAGCCACAGCAGAAGTGTCCTTCAAAATCCCACTGACTCTCCCCTTGTTTCCACCCAATCCCCCAAAGCCACAGACCCCTCGCTTCACTGGGTTACTCTCTTACTCTTGCGCCTCTTCTTCCAGTTGTTTTACAGTCATGTTAGTCTCGCAAGATGCCAACGGGAGGTCCTGCAGTTTCTGGGAAGATGTTATTACTTCTCTTCCCTTGTCATCCAAGGCAGTCTTCAAGTCACAAACACGATGCTCAGACTGAAGATGCTTTTCTTCCTCCTCCCGCAGCTGTAAAATCACGGGAAGAATCCACAGTTGTCAGGTGAGCTTTTCCAGAGAGGAGCCAGTTGTTGCTGAAGAACTCAGGTGCTGCAGGTCTGTGTGCATCCCCTCTGCCCAAAGAACTGCAATCCACTCAAGTCCCTTCAAAGCTTCACTTCTACTACCCCATGAACACAAACTGTAGGCCTTTGTCCTCTTTTACAGCAGCCTCTCCTATCCCTCCACTGCTTTCCTACAGCACGCTTCTAAGCACCGACACTGCCCCTCCGTCCTTTTTGGTCACCTGGGACACTTCCTGTAATTCCCTTGCTTGCTACTCCAGGAAAAGACCAGTGAAATAGTTCATCTTCCTAAAGGAAGGCGTCTGGCAAGTGGCAGAGGCCAAGTGCTCTGGCACATGTGCTCTGGAGCCCAGGATTGCACCAGGGCAGCACGGGGAGTTTTCTTCAGTGGGAAAGACCCGCACTGTAGTGCAGAGAGAGGCGCCCAGCAGCCCCTGAGCAGGAAGCAGTGGATGCCTGAGGAGAGGCAGTTCTGCTTCAGTGGGGTGGGGCCAGGAAGGGTGGCATCACTGACGAACTGATGACCACCATTTCAGCAAAGGCAGCCAGGTGAACTGCTCCACAGACCTCCCCTGGAGTCGAGAATGGAGCCAGGGCTGCGTGGGGAGTCTTCTTAAAGCAGGAAGACCTCCAATGGAGCAGAAAGACAGGAACCCCAGCCCCCCTGAGCGGTAAGGAGTGAAACCCTAAGGAGAGGCAGCTCTGCCTCAGCATGGCGGGTTGTGGGGCAGGGGGCCGGAGGGACAGAGGCAGATCAAAA